AAGGTAAACTACCATTGGGCTAATAGCATCTTCAAGAATGACCAAAGAAACGTCGAGACCACCGGCAGAGTGACCACCGGCCGATGCAGCATTGGTCAAAACAGCCGGAAAAGTGCGGCAATAAAAATTCGGACTAAAAATAAAAACATTCGGACCAAACAAACGGATTCAACAATCCCCTCTACGTTAATATTTCATATATCAACTCCACTCACTCTTTTTCTTTATTACCCACTCAACTTATTATTACTTTATCTATCCATTCTAACAAAACAATTTAAATTTTAATCAAATTCATGCTAATTACCACAATCGTCGTACTGACGAGGTCCAGTTGTGGTAATGGTAAGAAATGTATACGACTTAAAATGAGCCGAAACATTTTTTACTATTAAAAAAATTTTTTTCAACATTTTATCTTATTTTATTTATCTTATTATCTGTTTCAAGTATTCTCGACAGATTTTCATGTTTGTGTTGCGTCAAGTTTGTATATCTGGGCATTTATACGTGCATGTGTGTGTGTACGTGTCTGTGTGTATGTGTGTGTGTGTGTGCGTGCCTGTGTGTATGTGTGCGTGTCGGTGTGCAATAATCAGTGAATTTTTCGCTCAATTTTCTAGAAATTATTAACTCTACGCGATAATGTGGCAGTACTGCTGATACAAATGATGAAGGGCAAAAGCTTACTAATTTTTGGTGTTACATCCTCTGGGAATCGGATGATGACGTGATTCTCCCAGTCCTGCACCTCCTCCACCACATCCGCAACATGCTGCGGCACTTTTTTCGCCAGAATTTTTGATGACCCGGCCGACATCGCTTGTCGACAGCTTAATCAAGAACTGCAAAAAGTTTTACATATCACACAGATCAGTAAGTAGGTATTTTTTAGACAAAAACACCGAAGAAGTTAGGAAGAACAACGAGAACTGGGAAGAAAAGTGGAATCGCGCCTAAACACACATGTGCACACACACACACGCACACACACAAACAGACATTCACATACAAGAGGCCCATACACAAAAATAAACAAACACACAGACACACATACAAAAAAGGACACACAGACACACACATACAAATGAATACAGAGACACAAACATACAAATAAGTATACAGAAACACACACATACAAACAAACACACACAAAAAAATATGTATACAGGCACAAACAAACGCACAGGCACACCCACACACACA